CTCTCCCTCTCTCCCTCTCTCCCTCTCTCCCTCTCTCCCTCTCTCCCCCTCTCCCTCTCTGAAACTAGACGAAACATCATCCACAAAATGTTGGGCATGCAATAAAATAAAAGGACCCCTTGAGCAGACCCATTGGCCCATCTGCAAAAAATAACATGGCTCAACAAATGGCCAGTCCGCACTGCTCCGCCGCTCCGCCCCAACGTTCCCTCTGGGGCCACGCAACTGTGAAGTCTCCTGAGTGGCTGGGAGTCAGAAACAACACGGAACCGACGCCGAGGTTCCGTGTTGTAAAACAGGGAAGTGAAGCCAAGAAGTGAAAGCAGGGAAAAAGGAGCTTGGATTCAAACATCTTCAAACCACCCATGGGGCGCCAAACGGCAAACCCGGCAAAACATCGCTCATTAAAAAGAGGTTCCTCAACCTCCAGGAGTCACCCGTCCAATACCCCACTTGCTGTCCAGTGGCCACTGAAACCGCCACTGCACCGCCTGTTGCTGCCGTCGCACCGCCTGTCGCTGCTGTGGGCACCTGGAGCGGAAGGCCCGGAGCCTCGGGCCACACCAGAGCTCAAAGTCCGGTCGTGGCCTCCAACCTTAAAATGAGTCCTAGTAGCGTCCTTGCTAGGCAGGAGCCCCGTTCTTGGCGTCCAAACGCTCCGTTCGTAGCGATGCCAGGAGCCCCTAGTAGCGTCCTCTTGTTCCTTTAAATTTGATCGTTTTCCCACGACTCCCTCTCGGAGTGCCAGTTGCATCAGGCCTCAGGCCAGGCTCCAAAGTAAACCGTCTACAATGTACAACGGCAAGAACCTCTTGCAACAAAGAATCTGCCATTCTGTACCGGCACCGAGGATTTCTACACCACCCTTGTAGGGTCGGAGACCGAACCGGTACCGAACCGGGGGTTCCGAGACCGAACCGGGCGGTTCGAGACGGGTTCCGCTGCCAGGAAGATGAACAGCTCCGATAACTCAACCCGACCGTGGTTTTTATGTGTTCCGTCGATCTTCCTGAAAACCGAACAGTGAACCCCACGGGAGTGCCAACCTGTTCGCAACTGGGAGGTCTTTCCATCCAAGAAATACAGCAGCAAATGAGTGTGTTCGTTGGTTCTGCAGTTTCTCCTTTCAGGAAAGCTACTCTAATACCTCTTCAACGAAAAAACAGCTGCACACGTGGTTTCTCCACATCTTCAAGCACCGACCCATCCCTAATCCAAGCCCATAGGACTCCAACCACGCATTAAATTACTGCAGTGATTTAATGACCGAAACTGAAACCATTGTTTTACCGAGGAGGATTATACTAGCGTCTGATATCGTCTGATGAGTAAGGATTTGTGCTTCTCATGAGTTGGGAATTGCCTGGGTCGAGTCTTAGCCCATTCACATGTGGTATACACTATACAAAACCAGGTCAACCATTCTGTGTCTTGGAAGGTGAGAGAAGTCATAACCCACTCGTAGCAGTGCGCCGAAGCACCTCGTGGCCGCGTGCGCCTGGCGAGCCACCTGGGAAGCGGACAACGGCCTCCTGGAATACGATGTTTCCTCTACACACAGGAGGAGAACCTCCACTTCCATGTTTGTTTCAGGGAGTGTACCCTGTACCCTCCCTTGGAATCAGTTCACACTGAGAGGTATCATATGAGTTCAGCACCTATCTGTTGTTCAGGATGTTCATAGATGTTCATTGTCTTCCGACATCGCCACGCTTTTTCATGCCATCGGGCGTGAGAGGCATCGGTCCCACTGGTCGGACGTATTAGAATAGGGAGACCTCGGTTCCGACATCCCGAAGAAGGAAGGACCATAGACCTAATACCCCTGGTTGGGTGTCACTCTATTCAAATACACACCCATGTATAGATCATTGTAGACCCCCAAATAGAGAGAATTGTGTGAATCCCCACGGCCAAAAAAATGTCGTGGATACCGTGCCACGGTCATCTATTTGGGGATCATCAAAAAGGTCAAGTCACAGATCGCAAGTTGAAGAGGAAGATCGTTTTGGGAGTATGTCCTCGCAGCTCTGATCTTCAATCCCGGGTAGGTATTCAATACCTTCATGTAGTATCTCCTGCATTGACCTGAAGAGTCTTCAGATCGGATGACCGAAATCCCCAAAACACCCAACATACCAGCACCCTCGCTGCCAGGTCTCCGAAATAGAGGGTTGGGAAAGGGCCCGAATACAGGTTTCAATTGGTGACCTGTGAAGTCGGGCGCTGGTACATGTCGAAAAAAAAAGAACAAAACAGGGTCCCTGGAGGCTGGAGGCCCTGCGGAACAATGGACGAACGACTCTTCCGCAAGTCGCGGACACGACGCCGTGGACGGGGTCGCCCAAGTCAAGGCCCGGAAATTGAGCGGTCGCCCCTGCGGCACCGGACTGTGAGGCGGCAAATCCTCAGCCCATCGGACGGTAGATCCGTTTGGTGCACACCGAGGTCGTGTGCAACGATGGAGTCATCGGACGGTGATCCGTGGAGAATGATTGAAGACGAGGTGATTACCAGGTCGTGGCTCATTGGAGGACTGGATCCACCCTACCTCTCCAATGGGCCTGTCTTCCGGACGGTTTTTCGGCAGTCTGGGGAAGTGCCCGCTGAGTCAGATACCGCTGAAGCGGGCAAGTTCATGTCATTTCATTGGAGGATTTAAACATATTTGCATCAATCATCCGCTCATGGCTTGGGGGCGGCCAAGAATGTTGCAAAGTAAGGGTCCAGTCCAAGTGTTTGGAGCTGCCTTCCTCGGCCAGACTGGGTTTTCTATCCGAGATGTGGAGTCCTTCGAAATGTAAGGATTGTAAGGGACTCAAAGGAGAGGTGAGATCATGACCCACACTCGTTCTTTGAGATGTCATGTCCAATCTCACATGCTCCTCCACCAACCACCGCATCTTCTGAACGCACATCGGTCATGTATTCACGTTTTTGTTCCCGGCCATCGCTGCTCGCACTCCACGCTGCTCCGCGGTGGGTGGTGGTCACAGCTCAATCGCTGTGGTAGTTGTAGGCCTCCAAACGAACCACCTGACCATCAAAATCTGGAGAAATCAGGATTAATTACGATACTAGGATCTGATGACGACGGATTTCTGGCGTCTTATACCTCCGGCCATGAACTCCTTTGTCCCTTGGAGGTACTATATAACAGTTCAATCTGTGGTTCTATATTCTATCTATTTCTATCTGCTGGTCATCTATACTGTAAATCCTTAGAGATTGACAGCAATCTGAGCTTGAACAAGAACCAACTGGATGTCTGTGTCGACACAAATAAGGACATGAAAAGGACACGTCTCAGGGGTTCTCTGCGGACGGAAGACTTGGGCCTTGTTCTTGGGCCGACCAAAAATTGCTTTGAACTTCTGAGTTTTGAGCCACGGCGCGTTCTTTTTTTTGCACACATCGGTGAAAAAAAAACACAATCCTCCTTCATCTAATTCTTTCTCTCAAATGGGCCACGGAAAAAAGAAGAAAACATCAACCAACCCATGGTGACCATGGCTCAGGAAAGGTTGGGAATAGACCTGAATAGACCCAAGTAAACACCCTTGGCCGCGGCCTGCAAGGGGTCTCTGAATACATCATGTGCTTGCCTGTGTGCTTGCCTATTTGTAGCTGCACATTTGCTAGCTTTTGGATCGATTCACAACGCCACCTATAGTTTGGATCGCTTCATCACTTAACCCTAAGCAAGGCCAGGCTCCTGTCCATTGGTTAAAAGTGTATAGTCTGTATAGTCTAATAAGTAGATACGAAGTCGCTGCACGCGACGCACAACGACCGATCCAAAGGATGTCCGGACGTCACAACGTTCAACGAAGAGAGAGAGAGAGAGAGGGCAGGACAGGCCGAGACCCTCGGTCCGCCTTGTCGGCATGCGCCACCATCTGCGGGTACTTGCTCAGGTTCTCCAAGCCTCGAAATCCGTTCGGCTTGTGGCTGCCAGTGTTGCTTGCCGTGCATTCTGGTGACCTACTGTCTTTGTGGCTGTTCTTAATGGATCCCCCAAACCACTTGGACTGACATGGATCCAGATCGTCCACTGTCGGGGTGGGGTCGTGGTTCGGGTCGTCCAATGGGAATCGTCGAAGTCACGAGGATCGCCACCCGGCGTTCGTAGCTTTGGATGCCATTCCGGGTAGGTAGGTGAGACAAGACCTGCCAGTTGATGCCGTATAGATTGGTCAAAACAGGTCAAAAAGTCAAAAACTCAGTCCAGTTTGGTGTAGACGACCAGTTCAGGGTGCCATGACCAGCTGACCAGCAGTCAACGAGATGTCCCAGGTTTATGGAGCAGCCCACCTGACATGTCTTGCCCACGATGTTTTTCTCGATCCTAGGATGGATCCAGTTGCCCCTGGAAGCATTCAGATCGTTCCAGTTAAGCGTTATGAAAGTTCAAGATAGCTGTGACTTGTCAAGTGGCTTGGGATGGTACGGTACGATAGGTACGGGTACGAAGCCATGGTACGGTACGATAGGTACAGGCAAGGAACCATGGTACGGTACGATAGGTACGGGTATGCATTGTATGGTACGGTATGATGATATAATGACAAGATATGGTTTAAAAGCACACATTGTGATGATATTATTGATACATTAGACTACAGTGTCAGAAACTATTACGATACAGTGTAATTGAAAATTACATGACACAATGACACAATGTCACAATGTCGTTGTTCTAAACATGTTATGTTAGGTGTATAATGTGCACGGACAAGTTCAGCAGCAGGACTGTGTTTTCCTTCAGTGCACTCTCACACTGTGTGGGGTTTCTGTTTCCATTCTGGTCAGCTTTGCCGACGATTAGACACAGCAGTGCTGTGGTTTTCCCACAAGCTCCACGTATCATACAGATCGTTGATCTGATCTGTCATCCATCATGACGAGAGCCTGAGTGAGGCATTGAAAGAAACACAATTTTTTACACTAAGTTACACAACAAACAACTACCTGGCATGAACGGTTCCCTATACTCAAACTGAAACTTATATAAATAATACATTCCAGCACATATCAGAAACAACAATATCTTGCATATGTTGAAGACAAAGCATTTGCAAAGAAACAATTGTCTAAAAAACATCAAGATCTGATACTAGAATATCACTGATACCGATACCATTAAACTAAACTAGTTTTGTTCCAGGAACACATTCAACATAGCCTCAACCGCATCAATGGCATCGTTGTCTTTCTCTGAAGCATACTCCAGCGAACAGATGATTGACATCTGCAGGGCCGCAATCACAGTCGATGGAAACCTTGGATCAGTTTACACAATCAATCAGACTGTGAGGAGCCGTACGAAGAAGAACATACCAATCCAACCAAAGCAAACAAACAAACAAACAACCGAGCAGATCCACATTTAGAAAGATAAAATGTTTAACATGACTAAAAATAAGAAACATATTGCCTGCGAGATCTTGATGTTGCCCATTGGTGATAATGTCGTGATATTCATATTGTATTCCCTGGAGCTGCATAGATTCAACACCCACCACCAATCTATTGCGATCAAAATCCCATAGTGTGCCTGAAGGCAATATTGTTGGCACCTCCTCAGTTGATGAAATAAACACTTTTGGTGTGTGTAATACATGATGTGAAAAAAAATACTTAATCTAATACTAACATAAAGTCTAGTCTAGATGTTCGCTTTGATGAACGTCTCAAAACCAATTGAAGAACAAATCATATGAATAATAGGTGGTGGATCATTAATAATGTTAGTAACAAGTTACAAGCACTGAAAGTAAACAAAACATTCAGATTCATAACTTAATTCATGTTTCTTCACTCGTAGATACAGGTGTCCGGTTTGCACTGTGGTACAGATCTGCGAAGCGGTATGGCTCTTGACCAGCATTGATTCGGGATGCGTTCTGGTCTGCGACGAATGTAAGTATCTGACAGGGTGATTGCAGAAGTATGTGAACAAATAGTAAATGAGGTGACACATTTGGATGCTGAACCAACTGAACTGTTGCACAACAGTAAAGTAAATGCGTTATTATTAGTCTATTTTATCATAAAATTAGTGACAACATAGTTGAATGGATTCTACGTCTATGACGTCTATGACTCCCTATGACTATGATAACTATGTATGGCTTGATTTGAAAATATAAAATAGTATTCATTTCAGTTCACAATACCAGAGCTGCTGCCTCTTTCTCCCTCAGGGGCAATGTGTTGAACCAGCGATTTGTCTCCAAAGATGGTGGTAGCTTCAATGGCCATTGCAAATTTCCTTACATGCAAATGATAGTGACTGTGGCAGTGGTCGTCGGAGTCTTAGTCGAGTCTTGGTCTTAATTTGAATCTAACAGTTGTAGTGATAGCTTGAGTAGTCAGTACGAGAGTCTCAGTGGCAGTCAGAGTCATAGATTCAGTTAACTTTGCTTCAAAGTAGCAACCAAAAACCTACCAACTGAGTAGACTTAGGTTCACAAGTCCACAAGTTTGATTAGGTTCAAGTCTGCTCCAGTTGACAAAAACCAATGTTTAGTTTAGTCCGAATACTCAGTTTCCCACGGCTGTTTGCCAAGCTCATATGTAAGGATTTCCATTTGTCACCTTTCATGTGTGCTTCCAAATAGTCATAGTCGTCTTCATCTTGTTCTTGCTGCCTACGCTTCTCTCTATCACGTTTTGATTTCTCTCTCCGCTCCAATTCAGCTGTGATGGTATCATCATCATCTTCAAGCAGAAAGGCATCCTAAGCAAATGGATGATCATGATAAACAGTCAGCTCAAGACACCACAATACATACAAACAGAAAGCTGACCAAAAGTGATATTCAAGTCAAGTCAATAAGCCAATTTGCAAAACAGCATACCAGCAGCGTATCGAATCGTATCATTCACGTGATTCGTAAGTTAAACAGCCAGATTTAATATAAGACAAGATGCAACAGGTGGGCAAGGCATTTTGAGGCTCGGCAAATAAGTACCAATAGCCAATTCCAACACCTCCTCAGGTGTATTTGTAAGTTCCTCTTCTGCGCGTGATTTGTTGATGCCCAAGATGAACAACCGCACACGTCGCTGTGGTAGTCCAAAATCAGACGCCTTGAGCAAGATCATACCTGTGTGAACGTAGTTGAGAAATGAAAGCATTATAAAGCAAAAAGCAACTAACAGGTTGTTAGTATGTCATAGTGAAACTCCCCGCCATAGTCAAAGATCTATAGCGCTGTAGTATTACTATAGTGTTGTAACATATTATTCATATTACTATATAGATGTTCTTATTAGTTTAAACTATAGATTACAATATTATCATCACAAATCAAAGTAGTTGTATGATGTATGTCCAACACTTAACTTAGAGAAGATACATAATGCACGATATAAATGTTGCCAAACATTGTCATAGTCACG